TGGTCATACCATTTTAGAGTGCAGGTATAGTTGTATTTCTGATCAACAACTTTGTAGTTAGATCGTGCTTGTATGACAATGATGGAAGAACAACTTTGTACGATAAAAAAAATAGTACAATATTTGTAAAGTAATCACTACTGGAAATTATGGAATTTCCAACCACCTGAAAGTGATCTTAAATCAAGTCGAAAGTCTTGTTCCGACCACTTCTGGTATCCGAAAAAATCTTTGTTGCTATTTCCGACCACTTTTTGCTTTCGACTTGATTTAATATCACTTTCAGGTGGTCGGAAATTCAATAATTTCCAGTAGTGAATGTACAATTGAACTATTATAGAAATACATACAAAAAATATTAATACGATAATGACCTAAATCATTCCAACAATACAAAAATATAATTGGAATATTGAGTCTTATTCAAAATATAATCAAAAGAAGATTAATTATACGAAAACAAAAACTTAACCTAATTTTTTTTTTAAATGCAAGAAAATGATTGCAAAGTTCCTGATTTATAATCTTTGATGCTCAACTTTAAATGTTATGTATTTAGTTGGGCTAATTATTTGACCAAAAGTTTATGTTAGATTTTATATTGTATTTTTTAACATATGCATAGTATATGTTTTAGAATTATGCCAAATATGATTGAGGTGAGGTTCGAACCTAAGACCTTTCTTATAAAAATTAATGAGTAAGTTAAGAATAATAAATAGTTAACGGAATATTCCGTTACTAAAGTTTATTCTAACGGAGTTTAGGATTATTTAAGGGAAGAAAATAATATAATAGAGGGTAAATAATGATGTCGTTTTGAGTGAAATAACTCACATAAAAAAAAAAAGAATGGAACAATAGTTAATTGGCCAACTAGGCGACCTAGTCAGTGCCTAGGAGGCCTAGTCGGCGCCTAGTCGGCCTAAGCGGGCAGTGCCTAGGCGGCCTAGATGGAACATATGTGGCCTAGTCGGCCGCCTAGACCACCGATTATGGTGATACGCTAGGCGGCCGGCCAACGCCTAGCGCCTAGGCGCCGATTAATCGGTGCCTAGGCAGGATTTTTGCAACATTGCTAAATAGGGAGCATTATGCTGCAAGGTGGGCACGGTTGTAGATTCATAATTTATATACTGCAGATTCATAATTTCTATACTTTAGATTCATAAAATTTGTACTGTAGTCCATAGATTCATGTGATAGAGCTATATGATCATAATTTTATAAATATATGTTCATATGTTCATTATATAGTCATCAACTATATAATTTTTACTCATTTTAGTCCTCTGTTAATTTGACTGTTTGTGAACTGTCAAAATTGGGACAAAACTGTAATTGTATAAGCTTTCTTATTCATCTCCCATTTAGTACTTCCAAACTTTGCAGCAAAAGTTACTGGATTCCATCCGAAGCTACATACTGCCAGCGTGCATGACTTCCTACTTTCCTAGTGACCAAGAAATGTTACCTGGTTCGCTGTGAGTTACCAAGACTCATGTGAATCCATGAAATGATAATGTTCATAACTCTTTTGTTTGAAGTAGGAGTTTATATGTATTAAAGTATGTGTTACAAAGATAAAACGACAAAGTAGTCACATTAAAGCTGCAAAGCAAAAGCTCTCTTTGAATTTTTGTCTACTTGGTGGGGATGCAACTTGAGGAATCCATACAATTTCATATTCCAATAATTCTAAGCTCCTTGGTCCGTGTTTCAAGACGGGTCGAATGGAGAGTCCACAGGCAAGCGACCGAAGCGCGCAGGTGCCGAGGCACGGCAGGGGCATGCGCTGCTTCCCACGATCCGAGAGACGACGTTCCGCAGGCGTATCAAAGGCCCGGGGCTTTGGCCGCCCCCCGAATCCTCGCTGGTCCGCTCCCCGAGTAGATCGGTGAACCGGCTCTCACCGTTTCACATACTACCGGGGCGCATCGCCGGTCTCCATCCGCTTCTCTCCCGACAATTTCAAGCACTCTTTGACTCTCTTTTCAAAGTCCTTTTCATCTTTCCCTCGCGGTACTTGTTCGCTATCGGTCTCTCGCCCGTATTTAGCGTTGGACAGAATTCACCGCCCGATTGGGGCTGCATTCCCAAACAACCCGACTCGTAGACAGCGCCTCGTGGTGCGACAGGGTCCGGGCACGACGGGGCTCTCACCCTCTCCGGTGCCCCTTTCTAGGGGACTTGGGCCCGGTCCGCCGCTGAAGACGCTTCTCCAGACTACAATTCGAACGGCGAGGCCGTCCGATTCTAAGGCTGGGTTGTTCCCGGTTCGCTCGTCGTTACTAAGGGAATTCTTGTAAGTTTCTTTTCCCCCGCTTATTGATATGCTTAAACTCAGCGGGTAATCCCGCCTGACCTGGGGTCGCGGTCGGAGAGCCGCACTGACGCAGCTCGTCGAAGGGTCTTTCGCCCGCGGACGACGGGGGCACGTCGCGGAGATATGGTACGACCACCACTCGCCGTGACGCCTGCCGCCAGGGACTCGCATTTGAGCCAACCGCGCCCCGAGTTAGGGGGCACGGGAGGCCACCATCCGCTCCCCAAACTCGGCCGAGGGACCGAGCAGGGGGCAACGCGATGCGTGACGCCTAGGCAGACGTGCCCTCGGCCTAACGGCTTCGGGCGCAACTTGCGTTCAAAGACTCGATGGTTCACGGGATTCTGCAATTCACACCAAGTATCGCATTTCGCTACGTTCTTCATCGATGCGAGAGCCGAGATATCCGTTACCGAGAGCCGTATTTTGTTAAGTAAGACACCGACGCCGCCCGAGCGATCCGCGATAACGGTTCAAGGGCGGCTGTCCGTCTCGATGCGGTATTCCTTAGCGCGTTCCGCGCCGGGGGTTGGTTGATCGCCCGAGATGAGTCTCCGGACGAAGAGAGTGAATAACAAACGTGTTCTCTGGTCGTTCTGTTGTTGCAGGTTTCGACAATGATCGAATCCCCTGGAGATTTCGCCAATTTTAGCTCTGTGTTCAAATCTCCGCCCAAATACGACTACTTGTACTGTGGATCTCCCATCTACGGAGATTTGAGTCCACAGAGGATACGAGAATGGGTAGCGTACCATGTCCGATTATTCAGCGAGAAGTCGCATTTCGTGATCTACGACGCCGGCGGCGCACACCCGGCAGTAATGGAGGTTCTCCAGACGTGGATGGAGAAGGGCTATGTCACATTACAAGACGTCAAGGAGGAAGAGCGATTCGACGGGTATTACCATAACCAATTCCTAATCGTAAACGATTTCCTTCATAGATACAAATTCCAGGCGCAATGGATGTTCTTCTTCGATGTCGACGAGTTCATCTTCATCCCCAAGAAGAGCATGCTGAAATCCGTCGTGGATTCCCTCTCCGCCTTCACCCATTTCACGATCGAGTAAATGCCGATGTCTAATAAGCTCTGCCTCAGGGAAGATGCCGGGAAAACGCACCGGAAATGGGGGTTCGAGAAGCTGTGTTCAAGGACTCCAAGACCGGGATCCGCGCGAGACCGAAAGTACGCCACCCAAGGAATGTGGTCGCCACCGGGGTCCACATGTCGGAGAACGCCGCCGGGAACACCACCCACAAGACGAAGGGGCGCATCATGTATTACCATTACCACGGCACCATCGCCCAGGGCCGGGAGCCGTGCCGTCAGCCCGTCAACGACACGCGTCTCGCCATTGACAGAATCTCCTACGTTGTGGACCCCACAATGCGTGACGTCGTCGGAGCCGTGAAAAGATCCGAACTCAAGACCATCGGACCCGTGCTACAAAAAATTTGCCAATAATAATAATTAAATTAAATTAAGTTAATAATTAGTGCAGTAATCATAATTATTATCTCTATTTTTTCCCCTCTTAAAAAAAAAAGTGCAATTTGAGTCACGTACTCAAATTATTAACACCCTAATTGTCACAGGACCAAAAGTGCAATTTGTTCTCGTATTTATTAGTGTAACACTTTTTTTTTGTTTATTTTTAAAATACATAATATAATAGAAGTGGTTATAGATTAATAGATACAGCCACGGTTGGAAATCTGCATTCTGCATTTTTCTGACCACCAAAACGTGGTCGGAAAAGGGTGATTTTCGATTGGAAATGCAGTTTCCGACCAACTTACCGACCACTTTATGAATTCGAAAAAAAAGCCCTAGCTATTACCGACAACTAGTCAAAGTGATCGGAAATACCATCTTCTTTTTTAGGACGTCGAAACTACTAGTTGTCAGATAAAGAGAGCATCTTTCCTACCACTGGTGGTCGGTAATTGATCGGAATTACCATCTACCAGTGGTCGGTAAGATTTACAATGAAAAAATTAAAAAAAATTGAATTACCGACCACCGACCACCTAGGTGGTCGGTAAGATTTACTTACAAAAAAAATAAAAATTTAAAATTCTATAAATATCAAATGAATTAGACCTGTTACAATTATACAAATTTAAGCACCACAATATTAAATTCTACAATACAATTAACAATTTAAGGAAACAATAAGATAAGCAATTCACCTGCACCAACATACTCATCATTACATATCAACAAACCATACTAGAGACATGCATTTAAACAATTAATGAACACTGAAGTTCAAAGAAAACCACTTACCTTACAGTTCTCATATTCAACAACCATTTTCTCTCTATCAAATTGCATTCCTTCTACAACACGTAGACTGTCTTCAGCACTTTTCCCCTCTTCTAGAGTCACAACTCCCTACCAACTTTGCTCATGGCTTCAACAATCATATTTCCCACAGTTTTGGTTTGCCATTTGCCTTTTAACTCTTTTAACTCTTTCTGCAAACCTGTTGTCCTTCATGCAGCTGCTAGGAGCAGCCAATGAACCAGCTGAAAACATGCCAGCAAAAGTAGAAGCCATTTGCACCTAAAAGGAAAACAAGCAAATTTATCCATTATATATATATATATATATATATATATATATATATATATATATATATATAACACCACATGCAACAAAAATATCAAACTAGCTAATCAGGGTTGGATCGCTTGCCAATTGGGAGTCGAAGACGCCTTTGTACACGCTCCCGAAGCCACCTTCTCCTAGTATATTGGATTTCTTAAAATTTTGGGTGGCTATTGCGAGTTCCTTGAAGGTGAAACTACGTGCCACATTGCTCTTTTTCCCATTACTCTCCCTATAATTCCCTATCAAAGAACCTCCTTTCCTCCTTTGATGTTCTGCACATATATATATAATTATTAACACATCCAAAAGATCATATCATAAAAGATGTTATTGTAAATCTAAAATCTTCCATCATATAAATTAAATATACAATGATTCAACAACACATATATAGAATGATAATCTATCGATCAAATTCTTAATTATTGACGAACTAATACCTTATGAAGAAACATCTGATCCATGAAGCAGATCCTCATCATAATCCCCGATGGCTTCCTTACGGGAAGGGCTAATGCAAGGAAAACAATTCATCATATGTTCAAGCTTTAATTTAGTTTCTCTTTTTCTTTCTTTCACTGAATTATCAGAAGCACTCAAAATTTTCAGAAAGCACAGTTATATTTAATGTTATACTTTTAAAGTATAACATTATTATTATTATTATTATTATTATTATTATTATTATTATTATTATTATTATTATTATTTTATATATATATATATATATATATATATATATATATATATATATATATTTATTTATTTATTTATTTATTTATTATTCACCCAAGTTCAGATCTAACCCAAGTTCAGATCTAGAAAGATAAATGTGGATGTTATTTATTAGTGCCTATTATCATTTCCTGATCTTGGATAAAATGTATGTTTTCCAAAGTTAAAAGGCATTGAAATTAGCAGAGACCCATTTTACATAAACACTGACATATCTTTGAGTATAGTTTTCCTTTTTAAACATATTCCTATGGAAGCCTTGAAACAAAAATAATTGTTAAACAAAACAAACACTGCTGCCTTTTCAAGTGAATTGAATAACAAAAACTTTGATACATATATATAAAGCTCCAGAGGAGAGGCGAGACGAGACGAGCATACCTGATCAAGATAAACACTCCACAAGTCGGTTCGTTTTGAATACTCCTTAAGCATTCTTTCAAACATGGATCTTCCCCTATCAGCCACCCCACATTTAAACTCCAGAATTGCTGTTTGTGTTATAAATTTTATGTGCTTATGCCTGGGCAGACATACGAGAGCACAGTTTACAATAGACTGACTGTTGTCGTGGTTTTGGTTTAATGCCCACTGTATACGCCTCAGCCAAACCTGAATGAATAATTACAATAAAAATACTATTAATAATTACAAACAATAAAAGTAGAGCATAACCACGAGATTTCGTAAGTCATTTCAGGGCTTCAGGCATCACTACCTTGCAGGAATGCTTGAACTTCTTCACCATTTTCTCTAGCAGCTCATCACCCAGCTTGTGCTGCTCAGTCCGTTCATACACACCCAATAAAGCCAGCTGCACCTTCTTCGGATCACAATACTGCAATGCTCTTTGAAACACTTTCATAACAGCTTCCTGAAGAGGATCACATTTCTAAGCACATACAGGAAAAGAGAAAAAAAAAAAAGACTTAAAAGAAGAATCTAACAACATCAACCATTTTTGTTCCCAAATACCTGTGGAGATTTCCATATTCGATTTCCAAATTAAAATAAGCAACCCAACCATTTAGCTTTTCAGACTCTTCTCGAATGTTTATTGTACTCAAAAGCCTTTCATGGAAAAATAAAAAGGATAAGTGTAAATTTTGTCATTACACCGAAGGAAAACAACCAACAATAAACATATATATATCACCCCAACTCAAGTGCAAACCATTTGTATAAACCACAAACACAACTTAACCGTCAAAAGTAAAATTCACTCTAGAACATATTCATCATCCACATTTTTATAGCATATATATAATCCTCATCTTTTTTTAATAGCAAAATGCATGTATCAATAAAAGTAGAAAGTCATACATACTATTTTCTGGATTCTCTATCATAGATAGCCTGCCTGAATGCCTGATAGATTTTCCTGAAGAAGCTATTTTCCCCAATTCGAAGTGAAGGCCAATGCCCTAATTATTTCGAATAAGATCCGGAGCTTTGTTCTTTTATACCTCCCTAATTATATGAAAAATAACTAAAAACTATAGATTATAAAATAAAGAACCCTAACAATAGATTAAGAAATAAAGAACCCTAACCATTACATCGTCGGTCGAGGAGAAGAGCAAATGAGGAGAAGACGTTGTCGATCGAGGAGAAGAGCTAAGGAGGAGAAGGCGTGGTCGATCGGCAGAAGAGCAAGGGAGGAGAAGGTGTAACAATCCTACCCAAAACGCTGCGTTTGATGCTTAGGCAGTTACGGTTAGAAGTAGTTAGAAGCAAGGAAAAGACAAGAATGTCCCTGCTTGTTATTACTTAAACCAACTGCTGTAACCGTTCTGTTTTGTTGAATGAATTCTCTTCTTTCGTTTCTTCTTCTCTTCTCTTTCAATCTAAGAACTGTAACAGCTGGTATCAGAGCTCATGACGAACACCCGCAGAGATTACGATGAGGCAGCAAGACACATCACCGAAATTCAAGAACAAATGCAGACGATTCAAGCTCAGATGAACGACATCCAGAGGGCTCAGGCTGAGACATTGGGAGCATTCCAAACGGGCTTCCAAGCGTTCCAAGCTAAGGTCAGGCAGTGGATGAGGAACGTGGTAGCTCCAGGTCCTACCATTCTGCAAGCTGGAGGCCAGGCGCAGCATTCAGAAGCTGGAAGCACTTCAGTCAATCCCCCAATCAGGATTGATCGACCATTTGTAGGTAACCGGCCAATCCCTATTCATATTGACAATGCTTCAGGGGTACAAGGGAGGAATGCACAAGGTCAGGATCAGCCTAGACACTTGTTGCGCAATAACGAGGATTACTTGAGAGCCCCTAAACCCAGAATTGAGTTCCCTGAGTTTGATAGTTCAAACCCTAGGGGATGGGTTCGAAGATGTAATAAATTCTTCCTTCTTTACCGTATTCCTGAAGAATTGAAGATGGAATATGTGTCCTTTTACATTAAGGGGGGTATTGATGCTTGGTTTGAAGGGTATGTATTGGATCATGGGGGGAGAATATTCTGGGATGAGTTTGCAGAAGATGTATGTAGGAGATTCAGCTCTTTTGGCCTAGAATGTGTGGAGGAGGAGTTCAAAATGCTGAGACAGACTGGGAGTGTAGAGGAGTACAATAATAGGTATAATGAGCTCAGAATTCAAATGTTGATGGCACATCCCACCTTGACAGAAATGTACTTCATCAGAAACTACACTAGTGGATTAAAGAGCCATATAAGATGCTTTGTTAAAACAACCAATCCACTTTCCCTAATGGATGCATACGTGTATGCTAGACAGTTTGAGGAAGGATTGATGGGAACTGAATGGTCTACCAGAGGAATAACTAATGCTCATATCCCATCTTCTGCTAATAGCAACAGAAGGAATCCTACAGTCCAACTGAGTTAGGCAGAGATGGAGAAACTTAAGGAACAAAAGTTATGTTTCTATTGCAGAGAGAAGTGGCAACATGGCCACAAGTGCAGACCTAAGTCCTGTAATGTGATGACTGGCCTAGAAGGGACTCAGCTGGAACAAGGAGAAATAGAGAAAAATTTGGGAACTGATAGCAGTTTTGAGGAAAAAGAAGGGATTGTTGAAGTTTCTCTCTTAGCTATGCTAGGGGGGGGAGGGGTTGAGTACAATTAAGCTGCTGGGAAAAGTGGGAAAAAGGAAGCTGATCATACTAGTAGATACAGGAAGCACCTATAGCTTCCTGGACCCTGCAGTAGTTCAAGGGCTCAAATCTCACATCTACAAGACTAATCCCCTCTATGTAACAGTAGCTAATGGGTAGACATTGATGTGTGATGAGGCTTGTAGTGAATTCTCATGGACAGTACAAGAAGAAGAGTTCAAGAGAGATTTCAGATTGCTAAGAATGGGGGGATGTGATATAGTTTTGGGCATGGACTAGCTTGATCAGTTTTCCCCTATTCAGTTGCACACCAGACCATTAGGAATATCCTTCAATAAAGAAGGGAGAGAGGTGACATTAGAAGGCATCTTTGGAAGAATGAATCTTAAAGAAGCTACCACAAAAGAGAAGGCCAGTTGGACCAAGAAAGGAGCCCTAGGGTTCTTAATTGTTTGCTGCAACCCAGAACAAAACTCAACTGAATTAGCTGGATTTTGTAATGCTATAGAATCCTCATTGGCAACTAATGAAAGTATGAGTACTGCAGTAGAGGAATTGCTTAAAAAGTTTGTTGATGTTTTCCAGGAGCCCCAAGGGTTACCCCCTACTAGAAGACATGATCATGCCATCCCCTTAGTGCCCAATGCAATTCCTGTCAATCTAAAGGCTTATAGATACACTCATGATCAGAAGGATATCATTGAGAAGATGATTGCAGAAATGCTACAAGTTGGAATAGTATGCCCAAGTACCTCCCCATTTGCCTCTCCTGTGTTACTTGTGCCCAAGAACGATGGAACATGGAGATTCTGCATAGACTATAGAGCCCTAAACAAGATGACAATCAAGAACAAGTATCCTATTCCTCTAGTAGAAGACTTGTTTTCAGAATTAGCAAGCTCTGCATATTTTTCAAAGATAGACCTAAGAGCTGGCTACCACCAGATCAGAATGAAAGAAGGGGAGGAATTCAAAACTGCCTTTAAGACACACCAAGGTCTATATGAATTCAAGGTCATGCCATTTGGCCTTACCAATGCCCCAGCCTCCTTTCAAGCCTTGATGAATGAGGTATTCCTGCCACACTAAGGAAATTCATCATTGTGTTTTTTGATGATATTTTAGTCTACAGCCCTTGCTTGGATACACATCTGGAACACCTTGCCATCACATTACAAATACTAAGAGCAAATCAACTGTTTTCCAAGAAGAGTAAGTCCTTTTTTGCTCAGAAACAAGTGGAGTATTTGGGCCATGTTCTCTGTAGTGAAGGCCTGGCCACTGATCCTGCTAAGGTGGAGGCAGTTGCCCTTTGGCCCAAGCCTAACACCATTAAAGCTCTAAGGGGATTCTTAGGCCTAACTGGCTATTACAGAAGATTCATTAGGGGATATGGAGTTATTTGCAGACCCCTGACAGACATGCTCAAAAAGAATGGATTTATATGGTCTGAGGAGGCTCACCAAGCTTTTGAAAAACTGAAGATAGCTATGTGTTCAGCACTTGTCCTAGCCATGCCAAACTTTGAGAAGGAATTCAATATTGAGGCTGATGCATCTTGTAGAGGAATTGGGGCTATTCTAATGCAAGAAGGAAGGCCAATTGCCTACTACAGCAAGGGGTTAGGGCCTAAACATGCTGGCTGGTCCATATATGAGAAGGAGTACTTAGCCATCCTTAATGCAGTGGAGAAATGGAGGCCCTATCTACAAGGGAGACATTTTATCATTCAAACTGATCATCAGAGTTTGCAACATTTATTGGAGCAGAAAATCACTACCCTGATTCAACAGAGAGGCTTAACTAAATTGTTGGGACTGGATTATTCCATTGTGTACAAAAGGGGAAAGGATAACTCAGCAGCTGATGCATTATCCAGAAGAGGGGAGTTGGGAAGCTGCCAAGCCATATCCAACCTTAAACCCCTGTGGTTGGAAGAAGTTCTGCAAAGTTACAAGGGTGACAATTGGGTACAGGAGACGATCACTGCATTAATGATTGATCCAAATTCTGTGCCAGTTATGAAAATGGAGAATGGACTGCTTAAACATAAAGGAAGGATGGTAATTGGATCCCATGACCAATTAAGAGACAAGCAGATCACTGAGTTCCATAACACTGCACTAGGAGGTCACTCTGGAACACAGGTGACTTACAACAGGCTTAAGGCAGTCTTCTATTGGAAAGGCATGAAGAAGCAGGTTAAACTGTATGTGAAGGGTTGTGACAACTGTCAAAGGAATAAATCAGAAAATATGCATACCCCGGGGCTGTTACAACCCCTATCTATCCCTGAGCAGGCTTGGGTCCAAGTGTCCATGGACTTTATTGAGGGATTACCTAAATCTAATGGCAAGGATGTGATACTGGTAGTAGTAGACAGATTCACAAAATATGCTCATTTCATGAGTTTGGCTCACCCTTTTACTGCAGAAAAGGTGGCCAATTTGTACCTGGAAAATGTGTATAAACTGCATGGCTTACCTCAAGGGATAGTGTCAGACAAGGACAAGGTGTTTCTCAGCAAGTTTTGGAAGGAGATATTTAAAAGGATGGGTACTCAACTGCACATGAGTTCTGCATACCATCCCAATCAGATGGGCAAACAGAAAGGATTAACAGATGTTTGGAAACTTACCTCAGGTGCATGAGTTCCCATAAGCCTAAACAGTAGGAAGCATGGCTGGCCCTAGCAGAACATTGGTATAACACCAACCATCACAGTGCTTTAAAGATGTCTCCATTTCAAGCTCTATATGGCTACCCACCTTCCCAATTGGCTATCAATGACACAACAAGAGCAGCTGATGAAAATGCAGAAAGCTGGGTTCAGGGGAGGGTGAATATGCTAGCCATACTCAAGGAGAATTTAAGTCAGGCTCAGCAAAGAATGAAACACTATGCAGACAGGAACAGATAAGAGAGGACATTCTCAGTGGGAGATCTGGTCTACCTAAAACTACAGCCCTACAGACAAGTAACAATGGCTATCAGGAGGAATGTTAAGCTCAGTTCCAAGTTTTATGGACCCTATGAAGTATTAGAAAGAATTGGGCAGGTAGCTTACAGATTGAAGCTTCCAGCTGGGGCCTTGATTCACTCAGTTTTCCATGTTTCCCAGCTTAAAAAGAGGGTTAGTCATGGAAGGCAAGCTCACATGGAACCCCCTATGGTTGGTCATGATGGACAACCATTAACTGAACCAATAGCCATCCTTGGGAGAAGAATCCTAAAGAAAAACAATGCAGCATCAGTCGAAGTTCTAGTGCAGTGGGCTAACCTGACTCCAGAAGAAGCTACTTGGGAGGAGTATCACCACCTTATGTCTCAATTTCCCAATTTTAAACCTTGAGGACAAGGTTGCTTTTAAGGGGAGGGTACTGTAACGATCCTACCCAAAACGCCGTGTTTGATGCTTAGGCAGTTACGGTTAGAAGTAGTTAGAAGCAAGGAAAAGACAAGAATGCCCTTGCTTGTTATTACTTAAACCAACTGTTGTAACCGTTCTGTTTTGTTGAATGAATTCTCTTCTTTCGTTTCTTCTTATCTTCTCTTTCAATCTAAGAACTGTAACAGAAGGTGTCGCCATTCGAGGAAAAGAGCTGGGTAGGAGAAGGTTTAAATCTGCATAGTCAATTGAGGAGAGGTTTAGATCGCAGATGCTAATAGAATCCGGGACTTCATCAGCGTAAATGATCTAGGGCAGCTGTGCAAAAGAGCTAATAAATTATAAATGTATTTTGGGCCTGTTTGCGTTTTCGAAAAAAAAAAAAAAAAAACAATTCTGACCACCGTATTGGGTAGTCGGCAAAGGAGATCAGTTTTAAAAGTTGGCAAAATTTTTCCGGTAAATACCGACCACTTTGTAAAAGTCGTCGGAACTTTCGACAAATTTCCGACTGCCGTAACTCTTTGACGAAAAAACGAAAAAAGGCTGATTTTTGTGACCAATTTTTCGAGTGGTCGAAAAAGATGTCGGAAAAACGAAAATTTCCAGCAGTGAAATAAAAGAAAGAATAATATGTCTTTATTCTTCTTTTTTACTTTTTTTTTTTATTTTACAAGTGTTTTTTTTTAATTGTAATTTTCTTTAATCGCTTTTTAGTTTTAGAAAATTGTTGAATGATTGAATATTCTTTGTGTAAGTTTGATAGTTCAAATATGATTTGCAATTACAAATTTTAAACTTTCAAATTTAACCATTTTCAATAATGTTTAAAAATATAACCTTTTTTTTTCATAGGAAGGGGAATACCTGATAAGTACAGAGAATACATTTAGGAAATATTTACAAGACGCTAGACGCCAACGAGGACTGACTCTAAATTAAACTAAAGTAGGACTACTCTAATTATTACACATGCACCTACCCAATGGTTTAATTCAACTTGATCATCTTCAAGCTAGTTAAGATAAGAGCGCCATTTTGATCATGATGCCTTGGCCCTTAGCTCTGAAACAGTTAAAGCACAAACGCAAATCTTCATCACATGCTAGAATGATTTCGTGCCCTTCTTGATCATTGTAAGTAAACTTAAGACCATCAACATCCAGCCATTTGTTTCTCATCTTGATTTCTGACTTCAACCCATCCATGGTAGGAAGGTGGAGATCGAGTAAGAAATATTGCTTGGAGCTGCTCAAGCTCCTCACCTTAAATCTCCACCCCCCATTCCCAGTAATGCTCTCAGGCAGCGGTGATCTTCCTTGAGCTGCAGTGTAGGATTGAAGGTGAGCTGCATTATGGATCGGCTTGCCTCCGGATGGATATCCACGGATTTCATTTACTAGACTAGCGCCGCCTAACAGATCACCGTAGACGGTCGCCATTGATATTGTTGAGATGCTCAAAGCAATTCTACTTGGGAGAACGGGATTCGAATTTCACATATTAGTACATCCAGCCGGAGAATGTCTCGCGGACAAGCAAAGTGAAAAATGAATAGATAGATTTCTTTGAGCCAACGGAGAGCATCTTAGATTAAAAAAATCAACAATTATTTTTTAAAAAATAAAATTTAAAAATTGAATGATATTTAAAAAATGAATTTATGAGTTAATAATATGCTAAATCCAACCTTAATGCATGCTATTATGAATGTATAATTATAATAATAAAATAATTATTGAATAAATATACCTAGCATGCTTAGCTTTGATTTTACATATCAATATCTTATTAACCATAAATTGTAAAATTTGAGACAATTCAATTTACACCTTAACATTAAATTCAAATTCAAATAGCAAATTAAAACTTAATATTTGTCCCAAATTGAATGATAATTTAATAACTAATTAAGAAAGAATTAAACTGAAAATTAAGTTAAAAGAAGTCCAAAATATGATGCTGGAAGTTGAAGCAAACCCAAAATGCTAAATAGGCCCAGATTTTTAAAATTTTTTTTTAATGGTATTGGACCAGGTCTGTCCAATGGGCCTGACCCGGCCCAAAAAACATAACCCGTCATCATCATCTTCTGCCATGAGAACAACCAGCGTCGTCCGACAAAGAGGAGCAGCGCCAACCGCCCTCAGCCGCGACGTCGCCCATCGTCCACCGCCGTCACGCTGTCTTCCCAACGGTGGAGCTCGTCCATACACGAAAGTGACACTGCCTGAATGAGGAGAGACAGCGACGACCGAAGCTAGCGCCGCCTGAAGAAGAGGGAGATAGCCGCGGTGAACCGGAAAAACCAGCCCACCTCCGTCGTCTGTCCCTGTCGCGGCACCAACGCCGTCGCTCGCCGCCAACGCCATCCACCGCCGTCGTTGACGATGGCAACCGGCGAACTGAAGGATTTTTTTTCTTTAAACTGTAGCTCGTAAAATCCTTCGCCAGTAACAATCGCCGGAAAAACGACAAATCCAAGACCGAATCCAGATAATAAATCCGGTAATTCCAAAGGCCGGCAACTCTCCGGCGAAGACAAGGAGTGGGCGAAAAGGAAAAAACAGTCCAATTTTTCGTTTCCAAAAGAAAAAAACATCGGAGAGGGCTCGACCGAAAAATAAGTCCGGCTCGTACTTATGCAGTAGGTAACAGATTCAATAAATTTAAGAACTTTCTTAATGTTGAAAATAAATTTCAAACAATCCAAAATCATATATGAAAACGTAATGTATATGAAAACAATCCAAAATCAAATATGAAAACGTAATGTATGTGAAAACAATCAACCACACAGAGAGATTATAAAGGCTCTGAAACCAAATATTAAATGTACAATAGTCTAACTATAATAAATCATAGTATACTGGAAACCTAACCTCGTATGATAGCGGAAGCCGTGTTGATCTCCCGCCATAGTTGATATTGCCTCTTAAAAATAAAAATACACTGGCTGCAACTATTAATCCCCTAGGCGCCCGATCGGCACCTAACAATTTTTTCAACCATGGGTAGAACATTATCCAACTTAATTTGGATCATGAGCTTGAATCAACACGTCCGCCAGATCCATTGTGGAGAACTCAAGATCATTTTTAAGGGACTGGGAACAATGCTCTGTGGATGAATCAAATACACATCATACGCAGGCTCATAGCACCCCAAGATACCTCCATGTTACCCGTGGAATGGCTTGTTCTCCCCAAGGGAAGCTGAAGCACTTGCCATTAGAGAGGCTCTCAGTTGGTCTAAAAGAAATAACCTGGAGTTCTTGCATGTTGAGACAGACTCATTGTTGGTTGTCCAAGGTCTTTCTTCTCAAGCTACTGTCTCGTCGTTTGATCTTCTCTTAGCCGATGTAAAAGATTCGTTGAGCTCTTTTGCTCATAGTTGTATCTCTTTTGTTAAGCGTTCTGCGAATCAGACGACCCACCTCTTAGCAAGGGAGTCCGTTTCTATGTCTGAACGCACGGAGTGGTTGCTTTCCCCTCGTCTTTCCTGTGTAATGCTCTTTCCAGTGATTTAATATAATTCAGTTTGTTATCAAAAAAAAAAAAAAAATCTTTCTCCATACAAAAATATGAACTTCGGATAGGCTATCATAACCGCTTGACTTGTAACCATGACCTTGTATCTCTCTCCACATGCAGCTCATGTTTTAGAGAGCAGAAGCTAAAACTCCATGGCTATTGAGCAGAAGCTACTGTGGGCAATCTTTCTATTTAAAGATCGAGAAAGGTATGAGCTCTTCCTTCGGGATGAATTCGATAACACGGAGGTATCTTCGTCGAATTGAATCGCCATAATCTTTTTTTTTTTTTTTTTTTTTTTTTTTGGGATAAAGTGGAGGCTAGGTCTCCATCGCCATAATGTAGACGAATGGACAATGTTCATGACTTTGGAACAAGGATAAGATGCAACGTGGAGATATTTATTTTAAGTTAATTATCGAAATGGTCCCTTGACTATAGCGAAATTACTAATTTGGTCCTTGACTATTTTTTTTGAACCAATTAAGTCCCTCAACTTTAAAAATCTTAACCAATTTGGTCCTCCGTTTGTTTGACCGTTAGTCAACCGTTAACTTAGGACTAAATTGGTAATTTCGCTATAGTTAATGGACCATTTTGGTAATTAACTTTAGGGGTGGGCAATTCGGTTTAGTTTTCTCGAACTGAACCGTACCAAACCGAACAGAATTAATTTGGTTCGGTAATATACCGAACAACCGAACGGTATTGGATTCTTGTATACCGAACGGTTTGATAAAAAATCGATCCGAATTGTTCAGTAAAAAATTGAAATGAACCGAATACCGTTTGATTTTTTTTTATATAAATATAATAATAATAATAATAATAAATAAATAAATAAATAAATAAATAAAAAGTAAATCCAAGTCCCTTACTACTTGCTCTGTCGTTCAACTCATATTCTCACGGGTATCTCTCGTAAATGTTTTATTTGATTTCTTTATGGTTTGTTATCAAAAGTTCTATATTATGTGTTATGGTATTTACATAGTCCATATCTAAAGTCTAATATATAACAAAATAGCAATACAAAGTTCAAACGGTATTCGGTTCAGTTCGGTTCGATTTTTACCGAACAAATTCAGTTCGGTTCGAGTTTTTACCAAATCGTTGTTGGAATTTTTAGCTAAAAAGGCATTTTGAGTGATTATTTTGTGGTACAAATATATGTGGGTCCACATCTGATTTGGGTCGGGTTAAAGTGGATTCAGGTTCTTCGTAGTGAGACGAAGAATTTGATATAATGTACGCTCAAAATGGGTAATAGGTGAATGAGAAATTGATTCTCAAAGTGAACCTATTTGGGAGAAGCCAAAAATCTTGAGCTAATTGCTAATTAGTTAGCAACTTGTTATTAAGCTTTGATTCGTGGTACACGAAATAAGCTTAAGTAATTAAGCATTGTTTGCTTAATTAGTGAATTGGGAGTGGAGCTCCTTTCGTGCTTAGCATTTAGTGCTACACGAAAGTTGTGTAATTAAGCTTTGGGAGCTTAATTTGAGAAATGGAACTAAAGCTTAATTAGTGACTTGAGTTATGAGTTCATTTCGTGTGAGCTCCTTTCGTGCTGTGGATTTGGTGAGCACGAGTCAATGCTATATGCATTGATTCGTGCTGCACCGTTTCGGTGCTTGCGGACCACTCGGGTGTGGTTTTCGGTCCCAATTCGTTAAACCTTCGGGTTTGTACGGACTTCTCGGTCACTCAGATATTTTGAAACGGGTTGTTATGGTCGGTACGAATTAATCGCGTATTAAGTTCGTGACCGTTGATATTATTTCGATAATAAGTATGACCGTTTCAAATGTTTTAATTCAATTTTTAAATTGGATTAATGGTGGTTTATGTGTCATGAATATGTTATTTATTCATATTTCCCCTACAAATAGCTATGGTGGTGGCAGAATGTTAACACATAAAATTCTTGTTGAAATTCTCAAAATCTTTCTTTGTTTTCTCTCTACTCTCATCTCGTTTACAAAGGGAAATTTCTGCCAACATCTTCTAAAAACATCGGAGTGCTCAACTTGTGTTCTAGTTCGCCGGACTTTGGGTTGGAGTGCTCGAACGCCAAATTCGTAGTCCGTTTTATCCTGGGAGACTGACGCCACAACGATCCTAGCACCCTCGGGAGGTGGCGAATCGGTTTTAAGGAGAGTGTGTGTACACACAACTCGGGCTTCCTCAGCTTCTTCTTGTTTCTTCTCGTTGGGTTAAAACCTCAGGTTAGAAACCCTTCTTGTTATTTTTTTGTTCTTGGTTTCGGACCAAGTGGTGAGATTAATCTCGGCTAGATTAAATCCTTGTACTAGTTTCGTACTAGTTGTGGTGGGATTAATTTCGTGGAAATTAAGTCTCGTGTACTAGTTTCGTACTAGTTGTGGTGGAATTATTTTGATAAAATAAATCCCTATTTGGTTAATATATATACGTTGTATATATATGTAATTTTGGTTTCGTACCAAAATTGGTTGGAATTAATTTTCTATAAATTAAATTCCATTTTTTTGGGACAAATATATTTTATATATATTTTGTGTATCGCTTTATTCACCAATTTCCAACAATCTTAAAACCGGCTAATTTTTTTTGGTGATTTAAATCGATGGATTCCACGAGTGGTGGAACCGTGAATGTTGCTCGTGGTGCACATTCAAATGGTCGGATCGGCAATGTAGTTGTATTTTCCGAAACCCCGGTGAACTTTGGTTCTGATACCGGTGATGGCATCAAAGGGTATATCCCTACGATGAAGGTACATGGGACGGTACCTTGTGGATTGGTCGAAAGACCATGGAAATTCAAGATGTTAAATTTCGAAGGGTTGCAACTTAAAATGTTGTACAATCTAATGATTCTCGGCATGTCATGGTTCTTGACCGAGATGGTTCATAGTGGAAAGGAACATGAGTCTAACGCTCAAACCGTTAGCATAGTTAGGATTTGGAAATATTTGGTTTTCCTATGCCTAAACTATGTTTTGAACGGTTTGTGTGACTCGTTGTGGGAATCTTGGGACCTAAAGTATAATAGTGATGACGCTAAGACAAAAATGTTTGTCGTTAGCCGATTACTTGAATACAAGATGGTGGATTCCGGGATCGTCCTAAGTCAAGTTGATGAAGGAACGATCGTGAGTGGAGCCTTTCAAGTGGAACCTAGTATCCATTTGTTGCCTTTGGGCAGAAAGGACTTCAAGAAGCAATTCTACGGAAGATGCTTCATTTGTGGCATTATGGGTCACAAGTGGACTGATTGTAAAGCACTTAAGAGGAAGAATGATTATTCGGAATCTAACGTGGTGCGGGTCAATCAGAATGAGTCCGAAATCATCCTCTCGGCAATGGTGACCGAGGTAAACCTGGTTGGTTCGAACCAAACGGAATGGTTCATTGATACAGGTGCAACCCGACATATGTGTTCCAACCGTAAGTTGTTTACTACCTTCGAGATGACCAATTGTGGGAAGGTATGGATGGGAAACTCTGCTCAGTCTACTGTGATAGGCATGGGCAAAGTAGTTCTCAGAATGACCTCTGGGAAAGAGCTGACTCTAAACAACGCCCTGTACGTACCGGAGCTACGGAAAAACTTAGTTTTTGGTTCATTATTGAACAAGAATGGTGATAAACATTATTTTTGTTGTTATTTTAAATAATCTTTTTATAGTTAATTTTCAATAATTGATTAATTCTTATCTATTTTTATTTATTATTGCTATAATTAGTTTTTAGTAATATTATTCAATTTTAGGTTGTTTTTATTAAATTTGTCTATTATTTGAATTCTGTCCGTCTAATAATTCATTGATCTTAATTTAATAATAATATTATTAATTTTAGTAGTACATGATTAGTAGGAGTTTAATAAATGTAGATTAGTTATATATGGTCTCTTATAATAATAATAATAATTGTAGTAGTATATGGTCAGCAGGAGTTTTAATAAACATAGACTAATTATAATTGGTCTCTAATTTATTTAAGATTTTAAATGTTTTTATTTAAGTGAAAAATTAGTATTGGTCAAAGCTTTGTTGCGGCAAATCAGCGGAAGGTAGTCAAAACAGCCGCGCGGAAGAAGAGATCCCAAATGCTTTCATTGACGAGAGTAATTTACGGTGAAGCTTTACGTAAGAAGCCGTTGATCCTGAGTAGTATTAATAGAGGGCGGCTTCAAGGAAGAAGGACCATCAATTTCACTCCGGATCAGTTCCGGAGGCGACAATCAAATTTCAATTTCAGTTAGCAGCTTTGTTCGGTGCAACAGTTTCGGCTTCGGTGGAATTCCACATGCGGCAGCAACTCTCATTCTTCCTGGTTTCTCTTTTCTTCAAATTGCAGTGCTTTTATTAATTATTCAATTCCCATTTTGTAATCAATTTCCTTTTGAAAAGTGCATTGCTACGTGGACATTAATTAAGCGAAGTGACAAATTGCTTAGCTTTATAGAATTGCTTTTAATGGTTGTTTTTCCTGAGATTTATTACATTTGTTAATTGAGTTTAGTATCCAATTGCTAGTAAGTTCAATTACATTTGCTTTTTTTAAGTGTTGATATTAAAGTGCTTCCTTAGAATTTCACCATTTTGTTAGATATCAAGTTGCCTAGCTATGTCCTTTTTGTTCCTTGGTTTTTGAATTATTTTTCCTTTTAAGTTCTCTACATTCTCTTGATTTAATTTTCCTGTAATTGAAATTTCCTTTAGATTCTTTAAGTTTATTCCTTTCAATTAATTTTAAGTAATTAAATTGCTTCGTATCAATTTCCTGTGGGATCGACCCTTGCAAAAGCACACTACTACTATAGTGACTCGTGCACTTGCGAGGACATTTAAAAATTGTCCATCAATTTTGGCGCCGTTGCCGGGGAATTTGTTTACTGTGCAATTTAATTGATTGTTTTTTTCCTACTATTATTGCCATTTGTTCCTTTTTTTTTTTATTTTATTTTATTATTTTTTTTATCCCTGTGATTTTATTTATTTGTTTGAATTTATTTATTTTTGTTATTTTATTTATTTATTTAATGCAGGGTCGTCGTTCTTTAAACCCTAAATTGTTACCTTTAGACGACCATATTAATAGGAAAAAAAAAAGAATATTACTTTTTGAAAACCCAATTTTTGAACCGCAAGAAATATTACTTTTTGAAAACCCAATTTTTGAACCGCAAGAAACAACTACAACCATAGATGCACTTCCTCCACCCTCTTGGGTTGATAATCAAAATGATTTTCAACCAAACTACTCCAATTTTTATTTTGTTAATAATCAAAATGA